GGATACTCACTCCTCAACCTCGTTTTATGATCCCGCAACGTTAAATCTGCGCTCGCTTTAATAAATACTTTGATCACCAATGGACCATTTCTATGCCGGGCCCTAACCGTCTTCAAGAACCTCGCCGAGCCTACACTAGCGTTCGGGAATTCGTTAGAACACTCAAGGGTATGATCTATGGGTATCGTACAGACCTTTTCTCATAAACCACATCTGGGCCAAGTTCGCTCACATAGCTGTCCAATGCCCCTCCCGGTCGGTTGTTGTATTGTCCGGAAACACTGTTACCCATCGAGGGTGGTTGTCTGGTTGAAGCGCTCGCGCCACCTGATTTGTGATTTGCAATACCGGCGCTAAGGCCAAAAACTGTGTTTATATATGCGCTCGTGCCCAACTTTGAGGCGTTGTAGTGAGTGATTGCCACTACAGGTCCTGGAGGGGCGACTGGTGACAGTTTGCTCTTCATTGGCACGCATTTCCGTCATGCGGGGGCTCTGGTTGGAGGCGGCGGGGGGGGGGGGGTTTGGGTTGAGATGCGTAACTTTGGCCTATTGGGGCAAGCACACCATTGCGGCCTCATAGTGTAGCGGTTATCACTTCGGATTCTGACCATGCGTACCATTCCGGCGACCCCAGTTCAATCCTGGGTGAGGCCTTGTTTTTGCCTGTTCAAAAGCCTGTAGGGTACAGTATATCACGACTCCTTACCCCACTACCGTTCCCTGCACCATCACATATAAAAGTCCATGGATTTTCCCCCAAATACCTTCATTTCAAGTCCATACATGCGAAATGACCCATTGCATGTAAGGTAATTTTTATAAATTCCTTCGATTTATTGTGCGTTTACGAGCAGCGGGTTCAGCAGTCGATGACTGGTGTGGAGGTGAGCCGTGACTCGGCTGGGATTTGACGATTTTCCTTACGTCTCTGTCATCTGATTGGCTACGAAGCTCACCACGTGGCGCAAGGTGTGGCTCGCCACGATTTGTCACTCGGTGGAGGTTGTATGCATTGCATATCTCTTTCAACTGACCCTCCCTTCGGTGGGTATGCCAATATAACTTCTAGCAACGACTGTGCCAATTTTCAAAGCCACACGGCGAGTCCCAAGGGCAGGAGGGGACAAATAAAATTCGGCGGTGCAAGGACGGAGTGGTGATACACTGTAGTTCAGAGGAGCTTGTTGCATGGGGGCCTTTGCATCTTTACAAGTTAACCAACCCTCTTATTCACGATTTTGACCCTTAGGTTTGAGCCCTATCTCTTCGTTTCCCAAGCAACCTCAGATAAGATTTCGCTAAATATTTTTAGGCCCGAGCCAAGCCAGAGCCATCCTCGACATCTATGACATTATCATGTTGAGCGGTTGAGTCGCATCTCAAAAAGCATGACAAGCTTGAGTGTCAGTCAACATATGGGGCCCAAACAAGTTCATCCAGTATCTTGTACAATGCATGAAATTGGCATGTCCTTTTAATAGACTACAGCAAGCAATATCAACTATCGAATCTCCAAACTATAATCACATATAAGTCAAACAATGTATAATGCTCAAACCTATTCACTAAAATATTCCGACCCACTGTCCGATCCAAGTCCAGGCTCTGGAGAATCTATCCTTCGAGACCTCCTGCCTCTTCCCCGGCCCTGCCCCGCTGCTTGTGCGTTCCACCCCCAGCCAGCAGCCGCAGCACGTCGGCCTCTGCCCATCGGTCGGACGGGGGCCTCGTCCTCATCCTCGTCTGGGTCAAGGTCGATAGTGGCATTTGGATTTACTTCATCTTCGTCGTCTTCATCGTCTGCCTCCTCGGCCGTCTCGATTCCGGTAGCAGGAGCCGTAGTGTCGGTTTCGGCGGAGCGACCACGACGTCCACGGGGCGGGAGAAAGTCGTCTTCCTCGTCAATTACAACGTCGAGATCAGGGTCATCCATATCCTCGTCCTCATCATCTTCCGAGTCAGACGAGGAAACATGGATGACATCTGCCACAGGGGAGCGATACCCGTCGCCGCCCCGAGCACTATGATACCCATCTCCTTCCTCTCCCTCCGCAACCTCGGACTCGGACGGCGCATAGTGGTGGAAATAAGCCGCAGGCGGGGGACGCGGCAACTCCGAATCGTCAATGAACGAGTCATCGTCGTCTTCGTCCTCGTACGAGTCGTACATGTGAACCCGAGGAACGAACGCTTCATGAGGGTAGTCGGGCTCCGATCCATAGACACTATCTCCTTCCCCTTCGTCACTCCCTCCGTCGCCGAACAGACTTCCACCGTACAGGCTCCCTCCAGCTCCGTATACGCTACCCATCCCATCGCCGTAAATGCTGATGCTGCCATCGTCGCTGCCAAACGCACTTCGACCGCTTCCGGCATCAGAAAACAGACGCCCGCACCGTACACATTCACCATCCCAAACTTCATGGAAACAGTCGGGACAACGAAGTACGCCATCCTCTTCGTCGCGCATGGGGTGTCCTCCAGCGACGGGAAACAGGTTGGCCCAGGGATCTGCAGCGGAAGTTGCTGGACCAAAAGCAGGTACTGCCGCCGAAGGATCTGATTGGCCAACTAGCGCGGCGGCGGCAGGCGCGAGTCCAAAGACTTCGACAGGGCGAGAGCGGACGGCACCGCGACAGTGAGGACAGGTTTTGCGTTTACGTCCTTGCCGTCGTGGCGAGTCATCGTTTGGAGCGGGAGAGGTAAACCATTCGATGAGGCAGTTTTGGCAAGAGATATGGCCGCAAGGGACAACGCTAAAGGACACAACTTCTATACTTGAGCGTCGCGACGAGAGTAGATGGCTTACACGCAGGGTCGGGTGAACGGTTCATAACAGATGCCACATTGCATACTAGTTCGAACAACATCTATGACGCTTTCATGACGAGATATCGCCTAAGATTCCAGATTGAGCAACAATGAACATCAAACAGACATCAAACATACCTTATTTTTGTCCTCGAGCTCCTTCTGCAGGCGGGCAACCTCAGCCTGCAACGCCAGCGCTTGCTCGTCCAGTGGTTGCGTCTCAGCAACAGTCGGAGTCGAGGCAGGGGGCAGGGATCTGAGAACAGGGACGTCCACAGTCACCGGGGTACCTTCAACTGCTGGCGCCGACATGGTTCGGCTGGACGTGCTGGGTGCGGAAGGATCGAGGCGAACTCGTGACGAACCACGAGAGTTAGGGGCTGATTTTGAACGCGTTCTCGCCTTCCACTTTCCCTTGCTTTGCCACGAGAGACGCACGCGGTCCGTGAGCAGCACGATGTTGCTGGACGCCTCGTCGTCACCGTTCGAAACGTCGCCACCGCCCGTATCTTTGCGTGCGCGCTTGCTGGGGTGCTCGTCTTCGTCTCCGATGCGTCGTTTCGGGTCGCCGCGGTTCGAAGACACCGGGGGCATGAGCGGTCGTTGTCGAGCAAAGGACTTGCAGACAAATATGAATGGCGTAAACGCGGGTATTACATAAGCAATCTTTGGACCGCGTCGCCCTGTGCCGCGCTTAGCACTCTACTTCCAACGTCGACCACCATGTCCAACTCGGGCGCACGCGACATCGGCGGGGCTGGTGCCACACCCCAGGGCAAGCTTGCGCCTACCCCCGTCAATACTCCCCTCAACACTGCTCCCATTTCTCAAGGTACTCATTTGGCGGGGCGAGTGGTGTGACCGCTAATATGCATCCTGTGCAGGCCTCTCTCGTCCCACCGTTCCCGACACAATCGACGAGGATATGGCAGACGCCGATGACATTGAGGAAGAGCAACCCGACAAAGCTGCGCAAGCTATCTTCAACCTTGTACAAGGTGCGTACTCGAATTCCTATTATCAACGGCGTAAACTGAGCCACTTTGAACCAAACTCGTAACCTGCTTGAAAAATTTCTCGTCTGCTCAGGTCGTCTCGCTGGCCTGGTAGGCCGACCTTCTGGCTATATCGAGAGTCTACCACCCAAGACTAAACGCCGCGTTGAAGCTCTCAAGGGTGTTCAGACCAGGTACACTGACCTTGAAGCTCAAATGAAACGTGAGATGCTTGAGCTGGAGAAAAAGGTACATATGACTGGTTGGAATATCCACGATAGCTCATCCCTTGTGCAGTACCTTGCCCTGTGTGCGCCCGTCTTCGAGCGCCGCTATGCGATCCTCTCCGGCGAATCGGAACCGACAGACGAAGAAGTGGTAATGGGAGAAGCTGTTACCGCCAAAGACAAGGAGAATGAAGATGAAGAAGATAAGGAGCTTGCGGCGTCGCTAGCCAAACTCGCCGCAATCAAAGACAACCCGGACACCAAAGAATCAGAGGAGGAGGACGACTCCAAGGGTATCCCGCAGTTCTGGTTGACAGCGTTGAGGAATCACCCACAGCTACAGGTTTCTATAACCGAGCGCGATGAGGAGGCACTGGCATATTTGTCTGACGTCAGGTATGCTCAAATTTCAAACTCAGGTTTACGGCTAAATAAACTATCCACTTAGATTATCCTACCACGCCGAACCTGAATTGGGCTTCAATATTATCTTTGTGTTTGACGAAAATCCATACTTTGAGAACAAGGAACTTGTCAAGTCGTATTTCTACCAGGTTAGTGATTTGTCTTATGGCGTTAAGAGTACTCACATTGACGCGATATACGAATAGAAAGAGCTCGGTTACTCCGGCGAATATATATACCAACGTGCAAGTGGCACTAAAATCAAGTGGAAAGAGGACAAAGATTTGACCAAGACCATCGAGATCAAGAAACAACGAAATAAAAGTATGTCCTATCAAGGGATAAATGCGCATACATTTACCCTTGCATTTTTAGACACCAACCGAACTCGTCTCATCCGTCGTACTCAAAATACCCCATCCTTCTTTGACTTTTTCGCGCCGCCCTTGCCCATGTCATCGGACGCGGCTTTGATTGCGAGCGGTGAGGCAGTCGACGAAGACGATTTGACCGAGGAGCAACTTGGGCAACTCGAGGAAAAGTTGGAGATCGATTACCAGG